AAGTTATTGCACTTGATTAGGAAAGGCACACACCACGTCGATTTAAGACCTTACAGCTCACAGTGCATGTCAGAGCAAATGAGAATCATGAGGTCGAAGGAACTGCTCAAGGAGCTCAGACACAGAATTGTGGCAATGTACAGGGACAGAACGACTGGTTGCAATTGAAGGAAAGATGAATGCGACCAAGTACAGAGATATCCTGGATGAAAACCTCATCCAGAGTGCTCAGGACCTTAGACTGGGCCGACGGTTCACCTTCCAACAAGACAATGACCCTAAGCACACAGCTAAGATAACAAAGGAGTGGCTTTGGAACAACTCTGACCATTCCTAACCGGCCCAGCCAGAGTCCTGACCTAAATCCAATTGAACATCTCTCGAGAGACTTCAAAATGGCTGTCCACCAACGTTCACCATCCAACCTGACGGAACTGGAGAGGATCTGCAAGGAAGAATGGCAGAGGATCCCCAAATCCAGGTGTGAAAAACTTGTTGCATCATTCCCAAGAAGACTCATGGCTGTACTACCTCAAAATGGTTGTTAAATGAGCCCGGTCCTTTTACCTGGGCTACTGGATTGCCCCCGGATAGGTCTGTCTGACGCGGACCTTCTTCCAGCCTTGGTCACCCCTGCGTTCCCCTGCTTGCAGGAATAATCCACCGACACGTTCTTTGAGTGGTTGATCTTGTGGTTTATTTTGCCTTATAATGTTTGTTCCCAGCAGAACCCACTCTCTCGTTTTGCGATAGCGGTCAAAACCCTTTACCTCTCCAGGTCTAACACCTGATACCAATTGTTACCTAATCAACTATATAGGCGCAGATAGGACCCAAGAACAGCGCCCCCAATGTACAAAATAAAAAGACGTTTTGGCTTCTACAAGGGTGCTTCTACTGAATACTTATGACCATGTAATATTTCAGGTTTTCTTTTTTAATAAATTTGCAAAAATTTCTGCCTGCCCGATATGGTGAACCGGCTCACCAGGGGACCCCTCTTCACCTGGTGGATCTTCATTTTCGCTGGGCACCCTGCCAGTAAATGCCCTTGTTCCCCACAGTAGAAACGCCTCCTCTCCTGCAGGCGACTGAGTTGTTCTTCCGCGGACAACCTGGCCCATCCCAGCTGCATGGGTTCCTTTGGGTCGCAGAGAAGGTGGTTCTCCGCAGGCCTAGCGATTACGGGCAAGGAAAATCCCTACAGTCAGGGCAACCTCTGGCGGGATCACAAGGAACTGTAGCGTGTAAATTGTCCAGTCTTCGTGCTTTCAAGCAATGGTCTGTCCTAACAGCTAATGCGATGACTGCGTCAAGATCCTCCGGCAAATTGAGAACCAACATGTCTAGTATGGGATCAGAGAGTCCTGAGATGAATGCATCATACAATACCGTGGCATTCCGTGTGCGAAAGCGGATGACATAATCTGAGAACGAGTCCATACCTTGCCTGATGTTGTTCAGCTCCCGTGCAGTTTCTGTGCCTGATGTTGTGGGGTCAAAAACCTTCCTCAAGGCCTCTGAACTGATCGAGTGATGACACACGGGACCATTCCGTAGTTGCCCACCCCCGCTGTCTCCCCGCGAGATGGGAGACCATTAACGCCACCTTGGACTTTTCTGTGGGAAAGGCTGACGGCAATTGTTCGTAATGCATTTCACAGTTCACTATGAAGGATTTGCATTCTCCATACTCAATTTCCCGAGTTGAGCAAGGTGAAGAGCCCGGACGTGTGGCGCTGGAACCGGTGGTGCTTCGGCAGCCGCCGGAGGGGCGTGGCTGAGGGCCCTTGAGTCAGATAAGCAAGCATCTGATGGATCTGATTTGTCATGATGGACTTGATATCCTCCTGGCTGCTTGCCAGCTCTTTCACACCACGTTGGAGGACAGACAACTGATCCTCTTGCTGATTTAGGCAGGTGCTTTGTGAGCAAATGGCTGCCTTCAAGTGGTCTGAGTTGGCTGGGTTAATGCTGGCCAGTTCGTTCTGTCACCACCGGACAATGGCCTTGAACCCAAATGCACGACTCCTGAGGAGAGGTTCAAAATCGAATATTCTAATATTAAAAAAGGATAAGACAGAACAAAGCACAACATTAACAAGCACTGGCAAAAGAAAAAAAAAAAAGATAGCAATACGAACTGGCACAGGTCCCTGACAAAGGGAGACGCAGACAATATATACAGAAAGGTTAAGGGCACAGGTGGAAACAATCAGGGGCAGTGTAGTCCATGTAGTCATGGGTTAAAAATGTAATGTAAGTCGCTTTGGATAAAAGCGTCAACTAAATGACCTGTAATGTAGACAATTGGACCGGCACACAGCCTGAAACAAGAGGAAGGTTCATTTACAAAATAAAACAGGAAATCACGAGACATTAGACCCGAGACCACCTGATTAGCACCAGAATCCATCCATTCATCTTCAAACCGCTTATCCTGCACACGGGGTCGCAGGGGAGGCTGGAGTCTATCCCAGGCAACTTCAGGCAAGAGACGAGGTCACCAGCCAACCACAGGGCTAACACAGAGACAAACAACCATTTACACTCACACACTTATGGGCAATTTAGAGTTCCCAATCAACCTAATTCCCAGTGCATGTCTTTGGAGGAAGCCGGAGTACCCAGAGAGAACCCATGCAGACACAGGAAAAACATGCAGACTCCACACAGAAAGGCCTACCTCTTAACCAGTCCCAAGGTAGAGAGGCAGGATACTGGTCGGTGAATGTGCAGTAGGTAATAAATAAATGCACATACATACATACATATATATATCCCGACACAAGTGCTGCTTAAGACTAATTTATGCTTCTGTGTTTCCAGAGCGACGCAAGGACACGCAGAGCCCCTTGCGTGTCCCTTGCACACCTCCTTGTGTGCGTCGACCCATTTTTCTAGCACCGCACCAGGCTATCAGGATAGTCGGGATCCGAACCTGGGTCTCCGTGTAGCAGGCGGATTGCCTACCACTGCGCTACGAGTGATGACTCAGATGCAAAGACAGAGAGAGACGAGTTGTAGGGAATCAAAAAAAGGTTTTTTTACTTGAATGAAGAAGAGGATTCCATAAGGTTTGACAGCAACTCAAAAATACCAGACAACTAAAAACTAAATGTGGGCAATTAACAAAGTAACTAAGGGTGTCCAAAAAAGATCTCAAGAACCAAAAAAGGATTATCAGAGGTAAAGCATCTTCTCCGCGGCCACGGTTCTCTTAGCAACTCACGTGGCTAAGCTCAAGGTGTCGACTTCCAAGACTCTGCAAACACAAAGAAACTCAGGTGGCTTTTAAAGGCTAGCAAATAAGGCACAGGTGAACACAATGAAAACAATCAAGACAACACACATGTGACAGGAACAACTGGAAAACTGAGGACCCCACATGGTCTTTCAGGGTACTGCAGTCGAAACACCCTGACAAAGGCTGTGATTGGTCTGCTAACTACATCCTTTACAAAGTCTCACATTTCCGTTTTCAGAGCACAATACTATGGGGCGCCGTTTGTAAAATGTTGCACGTTCTAAAATCCTGTGCAGTTTTGCTACATTTAGCATTGTCATATGAACAAAAAAGCACGACAATATCCATATGTCACTTTTTCAAACATTTAGAGAAATTCATGTAAATTCATGCAATAACTTTTCCAAGGATAATGTTTGGCAGTAACACAAAAATGTTAAATAATCTAAATGTTAAATGTAAATATAAATGTTACATTTAACATTTAGATTTAACATTTACAGTAAACCAACAGTAAAGGTTAAATGTAGATCTAAATGTTCCCTCTACATATCACTTTTTATATTTACGGTAATTCACGCCGCGGCAAGACAAGCTGGCTAATCGCCAAACGTTGCGCAACCTCCCCCTGACTGGACCATCGCCGAGGATTTGACCGCGCGCCCGTGCCCCACCCCCCGTTGACCGCGACCATCAGCGCCCGTGCCCCCCCTTCACAGTGGTGGTCAAATCTTCGCGATGCTCCGGTCAAGGGGGGGGGGGGGGGGGTTGCGCGACGTTCCGCACCCGTGAACCCCCTCTCCACTGCGGACCGCATTTCAAAATGATAAATGATGATTAATCGCCTATTTGTAAAGTGTCATATCCCAATCTTTGAACTGTCTTTAAACCAGATCCCAAAACGGTCCCACAGCTCCTTTAAATCCAGATTAAAGACTTTTCTGTTTGCTGCTGCCTTTAATTGACCGTTTCTGCAAGTCAGAATTCTAAGACATTCTTCACATTACACACAATTTCATTCTATTTCAAATCTTTTAATGTCTTTTTTATCCATTTAATGACTAATAATAATAATTTCTTATGTTTAAATGTATCAATGTCGTTAATTGTTAATTGTATGAATCTGCTTGCTTTATGTTTGCTTTTATGGTCTTATGTGGAGCACTTTAAATTCCCCTGTTGTTGAAATGTGCAATACAAATAAAATTGCCTTTCCTTATTATAGGGTTTGAGCGACTCAATCCTGGAGCAATATATTGAGTTCTTATAAAAGAAATCAAAGATTTCTCCAATATTAACTATTCCCTGAAAAACTGAAAGAAATAGTTGGGTTTAATCATCCTTTTTCAGTACTCTAAAAACACAATTTCAGAAGTCAGAAAAATTGGTGTTATTTATTGGTAAGCGCTGCATAAATTTCTTATGAAATTTTAAACCTGCACATTACAAGTAGAATGTCTGTTCTCTTCATTGTCTTAACCTGCAAGTGCACGTATATGAGAAAATCCCCAAGCACTCAATAATTCAAATCGCTCTTTTCACATGCTGATGACGAATATGGTACAAATCACCGATCTACTTTCCCTTAGACTTAGCAGAAGAACAGCTGTATCTCAAGAAAGAGAAGCACAATAAACCAAACAGCTTACTCTTTTGGGCCACCTCGATCTTCCCCTATTTCACAGTTCCATATATGCATCTAAAACCAATCCTTCCATCCCAAAATCAATCCTTCATAACAAGAGTTACTCACCCGCGTTGTGGGCGTTCGGCCGATGTAAGGATTCTGGACTACACTGCTCATTTTAAAGCTTGGTGATAGATACGGTATTATGTGTTTTACCCGGTCTAATGCCTAGCAGAGCCACCTCTGGATTGCTATCAAAGTAGTTGGTGGAGGAGTTACTATGGTTTTCGACTCCCTCCTACATGGTCACACGACAGACAAAGAGCCCTATCAGCAACCCTGCCTACACTGCAGGGGCCAGGAAATAATTTAACAAGTAAATAATTTATCTTGAATCTAAAAGTAGCTTCTGCCCTAAAAGCTTGTGATGGTCTGTAACTACAGAAAGCATGCTGAAAGCTGTTCGCTTAGCTCTCTTATTTAGCACATGTACTTCTATTTTATGTATCCACTGCATGATATATACACAGTATGAATACATTTTTCCTGAGAGGAACAGGACCTATATACGCTGTACGTTATTACAACATGAAAGAAAATTATGTCAGTAAACTAAATAGATATTAACCAAGTTATGGTATAATGTCCAGTCAGAACGTTTACAGACCATGCACCGCTAAGATGATTGTCTGACCAGAGGTGTCAAAAGTATTCACATTCATTCCTCACGTATAGATACTAGGATTTAAAAAGACTTCTGTTGAAGTATCAACTCAACCTTTTTACTTCAGTAAAAGTATAAAAGTACTGGTTTCAAAACTACTATTCTGAAGAACCTTTCGAATCATGGATCTTTAAAGAACCATTTCCTTAAGCGGTTCATTAAAGACCTACAAATGAGCCTCAAAGAACCTTAAAATAATGAGAATGTTCTTTGAAGCACCATTTCTGGTTCTTTTAAAGAACCTTTTCCAAAAATATTACAGATCAAACCTTTTTTATATTGTTGTAAATTGTTACTACTAGAAGCTCCACTTCACAACAGATATGCGTTGTTGCACATTAAATGCTATTTTGTTGACAATGTTAAATTACACATGTCATTTTTTAATGTACTTAAAATATATTGAATACAAAAAAAAATTAAGTTGCTCCCCACAAGCACAAATGACTAACGTTATGCAAACAGCTGTGATGCTTTTTCTTTGAAGACCAATGGTAGGAGGAGTATTACTGGTATTCAGTGAGTAATTACTGAGTATTTGCTGGCCTGTTTTGGAGGTGACAAACAGCATAATTGGTATATGCACAGTAAAGGAAACAGGTCTATTTTATCTATGTATTATTTATTATATTAGTCATTTCTGGCCATTTTGATTTTTTTAGATCCATTATACTTGAGTAAAAAAAAGCTCAATTAATAAGTGTAATTTAACTTTCCATAATCAAAAACACACTCTCAGTGCAGTGATCATCTACAGCTATCTTAAAAAAACATAATCTATTTCTGTTGTTGCCTTTGTAACATTCGTCTCTGCTGAATAAGACTGCGGTCAACTCAGCAGACACTTGGATTTTCGTGGTCAACTTGAATTGGATAGTAGTGCATGTGCTGATATTTACGGTATTGAACAAGTAACATAAAAGCGGTTTAATCAAATATTCTGGACAATGACTGAAGTATGTGTGTTCAGGACCATTCTGACTACTATTGTACAAAAAAGGAACGTTTACTGTACAAAGTTAGATAATTATCCTATATTTCAAGTTCAAAAGGACCATTTTGAACTGCAATAAAAATACTTTTCTCAATAATTCCAGTCAAAGACCATATGTACCTGTGTTAAGGACCTCTGACTACTAGCATGCTGAATTTAAAACATTTTTACTGTACAGATTGAGATTTCTGCAAAGTAAAAGCCTAATTTTTAAGTTTCAAAACACAATTTCTCAAAGTTTGAACTGCAATAAAAACCGATTTATCAATAGTTCCAAGGCAAGACCAATGTACCTCTGTTAAGGACCTCTCTGACTACTACGATGATGTATATCAAGTATTTTTACTGTACAGATTAGTAGTAAAAGCCCTTTAACTGCACGTTCAAAAAGACCATATCCCCATTTTTGAAATGCAATAAAAACAGATTCATCAATAATTCCAGACAAAGACGTACATTTATCCATGGACAGACTACAATGGATGCCATGTGTACAGAATGAACAATGTATAATACACTAAATTCCTATGACAGAAATGATTCAAGTAATTGTGAGTAGTAAGTCAGGCGCACAGCAGGACCACTGCAGGGACAACCACCATCAGATAGAACCACCATCCACAGAAGCCTGTGGGAAGGGAAAGGACAAAGACTTTAGGAGAGGGTAATGTTGGTTTGTGATTACAGTAATATGATTAATATTTAAAATAATGATGATGATGGCAGCAGCAGATGTCAGCAGGGCCACGGCAGGTGTCAGGACCAGGGTCCAGAAGGAACTACGATCTATGGAGACCTGCTAGGGGAGAAAGCACAAAAAAACTCCCGGAATAAAGCTGAATTAGTCATGTGCATTAATAAAACATGGATTATAGTTCTAAATTTCATTCTGAAGGACTGCCAACCCCTCAGCATTGTTGAGAGTGAGGGGTTCAGAGAACTGCTTCAGGTCCTTGAGCCACCATATAGGTAACCAGAAAGGTTTGTATAGAAAATATCTAGTGAAGTAGTTGATATATCTGTGGTGGCGGGCGATTGGCCTCAGCTGATATTAATCAGTGTTTGTATTCTGCCTGTTAAGTAGGAGAGAACCGGCGACAGCCGGCTGTGTTTTGGGTGTGAAACAATAAATAAAAACATTTATATTGGACCCGACTGCCTCATGCTCGTCATTCCAAGACCCCCCCAGAGGACCAACCGGTTAGAATATCCAATTCATTTAATAGAAATATTTTGATTTGCTTTTGGTTTAATTTTCAGACTGTAAAAGAAGTGGCCAAAAAAAAAAAAATAGGAGCAGAAAGAACGAGTGAAAATGGAAGTACAGCAAGCTGCGGCCGTGAGTATAACAGCTGACATGTGGACATCAGTCAACGTGGAGGCTTACTTGGCTCTTAACTAATAAGGTAAAGTGGCGAAGACATCGAGGGGGGAACATATTCACACTCACTTTCCCATTGGTCAGCAAGTGATCGGTCCTCTACAAATAGCCTGAAGGCTTCTGGCAGGGAAGCACAGACCTCCTCCACCAGCCGGAACAGCAGCCTGTTGGACCGGACGTGGGTCATCTCTGCCAGGCGGGGGATGGATATCTTCACCAGGTGACCCAGCCGGCCTCTCTCAATCGGAACCTCATGCTGACGGTGATGTCAGGACCTGAGACGTGATGAAGCTTCCCCCAAACAGCGGCTCTTCAAAAGAGCCACATCCCTGGTGTAATGTAAGTCGCTTTAGATAAAAGCGTCAGCTAAATGACCTGTAATGAAATGTAATGTGTTGTCTCAGCACTCCGCTTGTGGGTGAGAACCTGCCACGCCTGGAGGACGGACTGGTAGAACGCTGTCAGGCCAGTTAAATCCACTGTCTGGGGCTCAAGCAAAAAAAGATGTTTGTCGTAAAATTACAAAAAAAATTACAGAAGAGCGCCGCGTTGCGGTGTCATTTGCAAATGTTTTTGTGATTTATTGGATTTTCTTTTGTAAATGAAAAATGGAGTTGAATGATACCAGCCAAGTTGAGAAAAGACAAGTAACACTTACACCCAAAGCGTTTGAGCATAAATTGTAAAAGCTCCAAGAAGAACGTCAAGTAAAAATAAGAAAGATTAAAAGTGCAATAAGAGAAATTAAAGGCCTAATGCAAAGTGCGGATAATGCCGAAAAAATACGGTCATGTCTTGAAAATGTATCGCGTTTCTTTAAAGAAGCAAGTCATTTTCATGGTGTTGTGGTTCCTATGCTCCCACCTGAAGAAGAAGAAAAACAAAATGCTTGGTTTGTCAGTATTGAAGAGCATACAATTGCTTTTGTAGAGGAGACAAATAAATGGCTGCTTGAGGTGCCAGACACACCAGAAGAGTGTGTAGTCACACCATGTTTAGGATCTGTTCCCAATGATGAGGCATGTATTGTGGAAATTGCAGTAGATGACATTAGACCGATTGACAGTGTTTCTAATGTATCAGTGAAGTCGAAGAGACGCAGTACAGTAATAAGTAAATCTATGTCCACTACTTCCATCAGCCAGATTAAGGGCTGAGGCTGAGACAGCTGCTCTGATGGCTCGTCAAAGAATGCTGAGTCAGAAACATGCCCTGGAAGAACAGCAGGAACTATTGAGGAAGAGGAAGGAGGAGCTGGACCTGGACATGGAGCTGGCAGCGTCTATGGCTAAAGTGAGCGTGTTGAAGGCTGCAGAAGGATCTTGTGTGTCTAATGTTTCTGTAAAATCAGATGGGATGAACTCCTATTTGGAAAGATGGCCGATATTGAGTCCATGTTTCATCAGGTCAGGGTGCCAGTTGAAGACTCTGACTTGTTGAGATTCTTGTGGTGGCCAGATGGAGATTGCACTCAGGAGCCACCTATTCTTTTGTATTATTTCTTCTTTCCTTCCACATTGTGTGTATGTGCACGTGTGGTGTGACGTCATTTGCATCTACGACACCATAAGGGGGTGTGGTGTGTATATTAGCGTGTCTGTTCACCTGTGGGGCGGGGCGGATTGTTTGGAGCATGGGGAACAAACTATCTTTTGACCGTCATCGGCACTGGGGTAATTATTGTCACTACGAAGTTTTATGCACTGTTGATCCTCTCTTGACCGATGAAAGACATCTATCTATTGGCGTGTTTCTGGAGTCTCTAGTTGTTGGAAAAACTGCAAATAATGTGTGTCATGATGTCAATAAGCTGCTCTCATTCTGTCTCCTACCGGTAAACAATCCTGTGTTTTGATGCCATACCTGCAGTATATATTCCTGCTCCAAAGATGAAAACCTTTGATTAGGCTTGGCGCATGACTTGTATGTGTGTCTGTCTGTAACTCTGTCTCCTGTTTGCGAACATTAAATAACCTGTTTTGATGATTTTACGCCGGTATCGAGTGAGAATTTTTCTGACATAATTTGGTCCTTCAAGCCGGATCTCAACAACTCTTTTTTTCCTCAAGTTTGGACCTGAAACCGTACGCCCAAAGTCCGTTACAGGATTGGTTTGGATTGTTGAAAGGCCAGGTTCTACTTAAGGTGGATCATCTGCCCGTTCACTCAATTCCTGAGATACCCGGGTATGATATGCCTTCAACATT